AGCCTCATCTCCATAGTATTTCTTTCTTTTTTTAAAGATTTATTTGAGAGAGAACAGGAGCAGGGGGAGGAGCAGAGGCAGAGGGAGAACCAGGCTCCCACTGACAAGGCAGCCAAGGGTCTCCATCCCAGGACCCTGAGATCATGACCGGAGTTGAAGGCAGATGCTTCACTGACTGAGCAGCCCAGGCTCCCCCCTCCTTGGTGTTCCTGCCAATCTGAATCTAATCATGAGGCAACCAGACAAGTACAAGTTGAGCAACATGTTACAAAGGAGCTGGTCGGTGTCCTGCAAGCATCAAGGGCATGAAAGTCAAGACTGAAGTGTAGCTCTTAGTTGAAGGAGACTGAAAACTTTGCTAAAAGGTCATTATTGGGATAACTGGGGTAACTTGGGAATTTGAAGTGTCTGGGTCAGAGGTATGTGGAAGTTCTTGTTGAGACGTTTTCAACTCTTATGGGCAGCAACTGCGTGTCCGAGCATGTGGTTTCCTTGGAGAGGTGGGCATTTCCTCGGACTTGTCTAACGTCTTCCTCAGTTCCGGGCAAGGGGCTTTCACACAAGGTTCAGCTGACAGTGAGCCTATGAAGTGCTGGTTGGTCTCACCTGGGGGCAAATCCCGACTCCTGGACCTTATTACCCACTGACTTCAGGGGCGTGCTGTTCCCTCTCAATAGCTCTCCCAGCCATCACTGTCCCTACAGGCTTTGTTCTAGCCCTTAGAGTGAAACAAAGATAATATCAACCTACTAAGGGGCTTATAACCTATGCAGAAGTACATAACATGACCCATGAGGCAAGGAATAGATGAAGGAAATATCTTATATTAGAAAAGGTCTCAAATCAATTATCTCAGCCTTTACCTTAAAGAAACTAGAAAAAGAACAGCACATTAAACCCACAATAAGCAGGAGAAAGGAAATAGTAAGGTCGATGTGGACATTCATTAAATCAGAAAAGAAAATAGAGAAAATGTATGAGTCCAACATGATTCTTTAGTGAGATCAACACAATGGACAAATCGACAAGAGTGAGACGTCACAAGCCGTCAGCATCAGGGAGCACAAGCGACACTACTACAGACGCTACAGACGTTAAAGGATGGGGGAAGATTATGAACCACCTCATGCCAACGAATTTGACACTTCAGATTAAATGAACCAACCAATTCCTTGAAAAACACAAACTACCAAAAGTCACTCAAGAAGAAAGCGGCAACCTGAATAGCGAAGTGTCTATTAAAGAATTTGTGGTCGAAAGATCTTTCTAGAAAGAAAATTTCAGGCGCAGATGGCTTCACTGGGTGGTCGACCAACCACTCAATGAAGAAATGCTAGTTTCACAAAGTCCTCCCGAAAACGGAAGAAGAGGGAACGCTTCCCCAATCCTTCTGAGGCCAGTACTACCCCGATAAGAAAACCAGGGCTTTATATGAAAACCACAGACCCGGATGCAAAGATTCTAAACAAAATGTGAGCAAACCGAGTACAACAACGTATTAAAATGTAAGCATTCTCACTACCAGACGGAGGTTGCTCCGGAAACACAGGCTGCTCTAACCTTAGAAAGTCCATTACAGTAACTTATGACGTGACTCTTCCAGCGACAGGAACTCTCTCCCCAGGGGCCGGCCGGCCCGGGGGCCGAGGTCACACCGGGGATTCCCGTCCGCTTCGGTCCGCGCGCCAGCCCCGCCCCCGCGCGGCTCCCGCCCCCGCTGTGGCTGGGCTCCTGGACCACAATGCCCCGGGCTTCGGCGTGGCCACGCCTCCAAACGCCGACCCCGCCCCGCGCGCACAGTCGGCAGCCTCTGATTGGCGGCTGCGGCTTCCGCTCCCCTGATGGGCGAGTTCTCGGGGCCGGCGGCGGCGTGGGTGATCCGCAGGCACCAGCAGGCATGGGGGAGGCCCGGATTCGCACCGGAGCGTCGGCTGATGGGCTCGCTCCCGCAGGGTCGCCGATGCCGGAGGCCGGCGTGGAGGCGGAGGTGGCGAAGCTGCTGCTCTTCCTGGCGCCCGCGGAGCGGGCGGACCTGCAGGCGGAGGCAGTGCGGCACGTGCTGGCGCTGACCGGCTCCGGGCCCGGTCGGGCGCTGCTGGCCGGCCAGGCGGCGCTGCTGCGGGCGCTGGTCGAGCTGGCGGCGGCCCCGGCCCCGGCCCCGGCCCGCGACGCCGCTCGTGCGCTCGTCAACCTGGCTGCCGAGCCCGGCCTGCACGATCCGCTCCTGGAGGCCGAGCCCGCGCTGCCTGCCCGCCTGCTGGGCCGCGCGTTGGACCCAGAGTGGCCCTGGGCCGAGGAGGCGGCCGCCGTGCTGGCCAACCTCAGCCGCGAGCCGGCGCCGTGTGACGCGCTGATGGCCGCGCTGGCGGCTGAGGAGCCGGGGGGGCCAGGCCTGGAGCGGCTGGTGCACGCGCTGTGCACGCCCGACTACAATCCCCGGGCGCCGCTGCATTACCTGGGGCCAGTGCTCTCCAACCTCAGCCAGCGTCCCGCAGCGCGGGCGTTCCTGCTGGACCGCGAGAGGTAAAGCCCGGGGCGCCCGCGGGGAGGGGGTGCAAGTGAACGGGGACGGCACTGAGTGGCCCCTTCCCCCAGGTGCGTGGTCCAGCGGCTGCTGCCCCTTGCCCAATTCCCAGACTCATCGGTGCGCAGGGGCGGGGTGGTGGGGACTCTCCGAAACTGCTGCTTCGAGCATCGTGAGTGGTGATGGGGGTGGAGGGGTTGCGGTTGGGGGGTGGGCTGGGGCAAAGAGACCACTTTGGACCCCTCCCCCCCAGACTGGCTCCCGTTTCTGTCTTCCCCTCAGGACACCACGAGTGGTTGCTTGGGCCCCAGGTGGACATTCTCCCCTTCTTGCTGCTGCCCTTGGCTGGGCCTGAGGACTTCTCTGAGGAGGAGATGGAGCGTGAGTGGCTTTGGTGGAGCCTCAGGGGTGGCTGGGCGTGGGGAGGCCCCTAGAGGGCAGGCAGGTGCACAGATCAGGACCCTTCCCGAAACCTTCAGGCGGGGAGATGCTGAACACAAGTGGGACTTACAAAGGCAGGGTCCAGCTGCCCAGTGCAGACAGCAGCAACTCCCACACCCACCTCTAGGGCTGCCAGTGGACCTGCAGTACCTGCCCCCAGACAAGCAGCGGGAGCCCGATGCTGACATCCGCAAGATGCTGGTGGAGGCCGTCATGCTGGTGAGCAGGGGTCCTGTGCCAGTGCCACTCCCCAGTATCCCCACACCTCAACCTCTGCATGCTCTCTGCCCTGTTGCAGCTGACAGCCACGGCCGCTGGGCGCCAGCAGGTGAGGCGCCAGGGAGCCTACCTGATCCTGCGTGAGCTGCACAGCTGGGAGCCAGAGCCCGACGTGCAGGGGGCTTGTGAGAGACTCATTCAGGTGGGAGCAGTGTGTGTGGAGAACAGGTATGGATGTCTGTGGGGGGGCGGCCAGCTGCTCACCTCCCTCCCCTGCCGGCAGGTGCTCATTGGGGATGAGCCAGAGCCGGGCATGGAAAACCTGCTGGAGGTACAGGTGCCTGAGGATGTGGAGAGGCGGCTGCAGCAGCTGGACCACCAGGAGCGGGAGCAGCACATCTGGGGGCAGCCAGAGGAGCCGGCCGCGGAACCACAAGCAGAGGGGGCTACACCCACCTGAGGCCCTGGCTCCCCACCCCAACCCCCAGCTCCAGGCCCACCTTGGCCAGCCCATCCGTCCAGGCCTTCCACACCAGGCCTTCCACACCAGGCCTTCCTGCAGCCACCTGCAGGCCTCCGGGTCTCCTTTCTCAGAGCACTGTTCCCTGCTGAAAGGCGTAGCTACACTTGGGCGCAGGGTGGGGCGTCTGGGATGAATGCGCAGTAAACGTGGGGTGTCAGGGCGCTTCATGCCCCGTTGCTTCCTGCAACACAGGTTGTTCAGACCAGCACTGGTCAGCCCGAGCTAGTCAGGCTCTGTGACTCTCAGGCACTTCCAGGAGATAGCCGACGGGGCTGGGCAGAAACCAGTACAAGCCTGAGCAACCCCTGAGGGCACTACAGAGGTCTGGGCATCCAGGTATAAGCAGGGCCCTTTGCTGCCAGTCCCACACCGCACCTTCCATTCTGGGGTCCTTAGCTAGCCCTGCCTGAGATCCAGCCTCAGAGGACTGACATCTTGTGACCGTCACCAGCCTCAGCCTGTTCTGGGATCTCCTAGGGCTGCTGCCCCTGGTTTGTCCTTGGAGCACTTGCTGGGTGCTGTCTGCCTCCTCTCCACCATCCTGCTCCGCCTGTGTCCCGAGACTGCCCTCAGTCCCTTGCTAGTTTGTCCAGCCCAGAACTGATGTGACAAGCTACGTCTGCACTAACTACGCTCTAGCCGTGGTCCCTTTCCTTGAGTTGCATAGCCCCTTGCCTCCCCGGTGCGCCTGCAGCCTCACTCTTTGCCCAGCCTTTTTCCTTAGCACCCTCTGTCTCCTTGGAGCCCCAGTGGGTCCAAGAAACTTGTTTTCCCCCAGCTCCTTGTGTGGGCTCCTGTGTTCTGCAGCTGCCAAGCCTGGTAGGCTGTCCACATGGCCCTCCCCGTGCCCTGCTCCCTTCCTGCCACCGTCTCCGGGGTAGGACTCCTTTGTACTCTGGTACAGGAGTGCAGCCTGACGCCCTGAGTGTTCCAGCACCCTCTCTCCATGTGCCCTCAGTCCTGTCACTTCCTCCAGAGCTGGAGGTCCACTTCCATTCCTCCCATCAAGCCTGGGTGCATCCCGGAAACGAGGGGTCTCCTTCCTCTCTGGTACCCCCTGTATTTGTCTTCTCCTCCCGATTAAAGCTGTGGCGTGGAGGCATGTGGATTCGTGTTCTCCCCGGCTGGGGAGTGCTACCGGCTTCCCCGTGGCTGGCTGCCCCTTCCTGCACTGACACACGAGCATCCCCTCCGTAAAATAAATGCTTTATCTGGCCTCGCCTGGGCCTACCCATCCTCGGGTGCCCAGGCAGTGCTCAGGCGTGGTCCTGACGGCAAACGTGGATCTCAGGGATAGTGGCTACCCGGAGGCGCCCACCCCCAGGCTTGCTACCGCCATGCTCCGGAGCTCCCGCTGGGCAGATCCTGCACCTCTTCTTGGGACTCCCTCTGGGGGCTCAGGCGTCTGGCCAGAAGCATTCCCACGGTGAGTCCCCCCCGTGGTGGGGGCGCCGGAGCTGCAGGAGTGGCCTTGGACGCTCTGAGTCTCTGCCAGGCTCCGTGGGATGCGGGGTTGTGGGCAGCTGTGACTTGGCTGGCTTCACTGCAACCGACAGCCACGGGGAATCAGAAGGGGCGTTGAGCGCCCGCCCTGCTGGGGCCCCGCCCACCTGGCGACGAGCAGAGCATGGTGCGGAAGAGCGCATGCGTGGCGGGCAGCATTTCCCCCCCCCAGTGGGCGGCCACGTGTTGCAGATCCAGGCGTGCGCGCGGCCTTAGCTGTAGCAGGCCCTGGCTCAGGTCCTGGCACTCTGGGCAAGGGCTCGCAGCTGTGGCCTCCCACTGGCCACTCTCTTGCCCGTGCCCATGACTGTCAGCAGTGCTGGGTAGTTTGGGGGACGTATCCCGTGCAGGCACCCGAACGCGTGCAGGGAGTCCGTGCTTCTCCAATCATGAGATGGAGGCACCGAGAGGGAAGGAGGTGTAGTCTGGGCCGGTGCAGAGCTCAGAGTCCCCGGGACCGTTGCTTTCCAGACAAGGAGACTGAGTCTGTGCCACCCCCAGCCCCGCTGCCCTCTCACCTCTGTGCTGCCGTCCGTTTACCAGCCCGGACTGGGGGTGGGATGCCAGCTCAGCCCCCATGCCCCCGCCACTCCCCTCACTGGGGATAATGACCGGTCTCTGGACCCAGTCTCTTCCTAAGATTTTATTTGAGAGAGAGCATGAGCAGGAGGAGGGGCAGCGGGAGAAGCAGGCCCCCCACTGAGCAGGGAGCCCAATGCAGGACTCAATCCCAGGACCCCAGGACCGTGACCTGAGCCAAACACAGCGAGGGAGCGCCTGAGGCGCCCCTGGACCCAGATCTTTCTTGCCAGGACTTGGGGGGGACCCGTGCTCTGGCTCACCTGGGGACACGCCCGGCCTGAGGGCGGGGCCTTGGCGCACGAGGTGCAGCACGCGGTGTGGCTGATGCTCCTTGAAGGGCAGCTTCCCAGCCACCATGGCATAGAGGATGACACCCCTGGGGACATGGGCGGCTCAGGGCCTGCACCCCTCCTGCCCTCCCACGGTCCTGCCTGTGCCAGGGGGCCACTCACAGGCTCCACAGGTCAGCCTGCTCCCCATTGTACTTCTTGCTCATGAGGATCTCGGGGGCCGCGTAAGCCACAGAGCTGCAGAAGGTGCTCAGCAGCGAGTCCTTGAGGCCCGAGCGGTTGTCGAAGCCAAAGTCTGTGGAGGCGCGTGGTGCCGGGGGTGGGGGGCAGGAGGGGAAGGGACGTTGGGCTCAGGAGAGGGGGCTGTGGGGCAGATGCAGAGTGGGTGCGTGTCCCAAGCACAGGTGGGGGCCAGCGTGGGGCTGGGCCTCCTGGGAGGGTCAAAGGTCAAGCCAGGTTGGGGTCAAGTCTGAAGGGGGGGGTGCCTGGGCGGCTCAGTCACCTGAGCAGCCCACTCTCGGTTTCGGCTCAGGTCACGATCTCAGGGTCCTGGGATAGAGCCCGGGGTCTGCATCCGGCTTCACGCTCAGCCCGGAGCCTGCTTCAGGATTCGCCCTCTCTCTTTCTTTCAAATAAATAAACGGGTCTTTAAAGCCACAAAAATTGAAAAAAGCCTGAAGCAGTTGAGAGTAGAGGCTGGAGTCCTCGCCGGTACAGTGGCTGAGCGTGGGCGGGCCTCCCGGAGAAGCTGAAGGCTGGGGCCGTGAGTCAGGGTGGGTTAGGGCAGAGGTGGGGCTGGGCCACAGGCTCACCGGTCAGCTTTAGGAGGCCCTGGTCATCCAGCAGGATGTTCTCACACTTGAGATCCCTGCGTAGGGAAGGGGAAGCAGGGCTGGTCCTGGGCTCATTGGGCCTCTCCATGCGGGGGTCGGGGGGGACAGGTGGTGAGGGCACCCCCTCAACTGTGCACGATGCCAGAGCTGTGGCAGTGGGCCGCGGCGCTGACCAGCTGCCTGAACAGCCCACGGGCCTCCTCCTCTTCCAGCCCCAGGCGGCAGCAGTGGCCCGACACGGCGTTGATGTGCTCCAGCAAGTCCCTGCGGGCCGCCAACTCCAGCACCAAGTAGGAGCGCTGGCTGTTGTGGTCGGTCTCAGAGCTGCACCTGCCAGAGCCCGTCCCCAGCCTGCCATCACCCAAGGAGGGCTTGTCCAGGGCACTGGAGCAGGGGCTCAAGATGGGGCTGGGCCCCAAGCATCAGGGTCCCTGGTGGGAAAGGGGGTGCTCTTGGACAGGATGGGCACGGGCCATGTCGGGGTCTCTGCCTACCACATTCAGGTGCCTGTAGGTAGCATTGAGGGATGATATCTCACGGGGCAAGAACTTCTGGGAGAACTCCATGGGGCCTCAGCCGTGGAGATGATCTTGATAGCCACCTGCAGGGGCAGAGGGTGGCCCTTGTGTGTAGGCCACAGCCCCTGAAAGGGGATGTGAACAAGCCCCATGTCCTTTGTGCACATTGCTGAGCTTGACTGGGGCGAGGCTGGGAAGCAGAATCCCTGGGGGTCTAGAGAGACCTTCCCCTTCCCTCCTGGCTCTGATATGCTCCAGGGGTTCTGGAGCTGGGAGTGGCCAGCTTGCAGGTCCTTGGGAGGACACCAGAGCAGGAGGGAGCTGGCACAGCAGGGAGGTGCCTCAGTGGGGCATGGGGCATGGGTACCACTGGGGTTAGCCTGCTGTCTGCACCCATGGGAGGATATGGGCCTGCCTCACCATGGCATGGTGTTTGCCTCGCAGGTCGGAGGCCAGCTTGGGGTTGTGCCGCATGCGCTCACGTGTGGCGTAGGCCAGGTAGACTTTGGAGAAGGCCCCAGAGCCAATCTTCCTGGAAGAGAGCAGGTAGCCGTTGTCCCTGCATTCGCGCACCTGCTCCATGAAGTTTTGCTGGTCCAGCTTTCGCCGGGCACTGCCCTTCATGAAGGGCGGGGTGCCACGGGAGGGGGCGGGGCCTTGGGTGGGAGGAGCAGGGGGCGGGGCAGAGGCCTGACCGGGATCAGAAGGGCTAGGGCAACAGGGCCCGAGGAGGCTGCTGGGCCCTGGGCCCCTCGAGGCTGCACCCCCGTTTCTGAAGTCTTTCTGGGACTGGGGCAGAGGCAGGGGAGTGACCAGGGCTGAGAGCTCGGAGTGGGAAGCGAACGCAGCCGTGGACTGGTGTGGGTCCAGGCAGGCTCTGGGAAAGCAGGGGCAGATTCCAGAACGGAGGTTCTAGAGCTGCTCTCGCATTGTGCCCTCAAAGAGGGGTGTTCTGTCCCCCAGGGCCTGCCTTCTCTGAGAACGTCTTGCTGGAACTATCCTCATCTTGCATGGGGCCTGCTCCTTGTGGGGTGAGAATCCCCAAGGCAGTGTGAGGCCTTATGTGACTAGTCACAAAAGACCCTTCAAGAAGCATGTGGAGAGGGTGGGCGAGGGAAGGTAAGCAGGGCTTCTAAGTATACAAAGAAGGGGAAAGGAAACCCAGCGTGCACTGGTGCGTGCCCCTCTTCCTTTGCGAGGGTAGTGTGGAGGCCGCCAGGTCCGCTGACCCTGGTCTTGCCCCCAGAGCTCTCCTCAGACTTGACAGCCCATCTCCAAGGCAAGCAAGGGTCTCCAGTCTGGGCTCTAGGAGAGGAAAGCCAACACGACCCCTGACTTCTGGCCTGCAGAGCCTTCTGGGGGCACTGTTGCCACAGGGAGTAGCAGACGACGTTAATGAGCATCTACTGTGTGGCCGACACGGTGCTAAGCCGCACGGAGTGGCCACACCCCCTCAGTCCCTGCCTCCCGTCTACAGACCACACCTGACACAGCCATCCTGCAGTAGGCGTTCTCATCCACGATCGCAAACCACAGCCAAGTTCTACAGGTGAGAATTTGGCCCATCGAGGTGCACATATGTGGTCTCTCCGCTCTGAGCTAGCTGGCTTGGTGGCTGCTGGTCTGCTGTCCTGGGAGGGCCTGGCTCTTGGTGGAGGCTTGTGATTGTCTGTGGCCCTGGCTTGTTCCCTGTGGGGATCTGCAGTGGTCATGGTGTGCCTGTGACCGTGAAGGCCTGGGAATGGTCTGGTAGGACAGCTGTTCTCCTAGTCCTGCTAGGTGAGAGGAGGATGAGCTGCTTTAGAGCAAGGTTTGTGTCATGTGTTCCCTCGCTCGCCCACTGCCCTTGCTAGTCAAACTGCCTGGGATATAGAAAATATGGACAGACTTTCTGCGTTGCTGATGTGCAGGTTGGGGAAGAGAAACCTCTGGATTTCAAGCAGAGGGGTTATTACTCAGGTGTTAGGGGGCTGGCGCAGTGAAAGGGAAGATGGGGTGGGTCCAGCCAGAGGTGTGTGTGCCTCTGCACTGCTACTGGGGAGCCTGGGAACGGTGTTGGCTGTCACCTTCCTAGCTCCCACCAGTGCCAGAACAGGAAGCCACTGAGAATCGTGTGGAGACAGGCAGGACGTCGAATGGTCACCAGCTCTGTGCACCCTCCCTTTGCAGAGTCTTTCATGCCCTCCTCCTTCACTGCGCTCTTGGTCACCCACCCATTATGAGACGCATTGAGCCCCATCATGTGCGGGGCTTGGTGCGGAGCACTTGGAAGCAAATCACAGACATGGGCCTTTCTCTCCTAGAGCTCAGACGGAGATGGGCCTCAATAGTGTAATAAAATGACAGCTGTGGTGTTTGGTGGAGTGGTTTGTGCCCTTGGGGAGTGACATCTGGCTAAGGCTGGGGACGGGACAGAGCCAGCAGGGCTGCTGCGCACTGGCCATGTCCGGAGGCAGGGCTTGGGGCAGGAAAGTGAATCCTTCAGACAGGACCTTCGAAAAGGCCCGCCTCCTGCCCTAGCAACTTCTGCTTTCTATGTGGGGGTCGCGGGTGGTTGGGCTCTTCCCGAGGGACCAGGCCCCATCGGCAGAACATCTCACCGTCAGCCTTCTGTGGGGTCGGGGGTGGTTGGGGCTCTTTCCAAGGGACCAGGCCCCATCGGCAGAGCACCTCACCGTCAGCCTTCTGTCCCTGTCTTCTGGGCTCCATCCCTGCAACAGAAAAGGGCTGATCCCCTTCCCTCGTGGGGAAGGGAATGTCCCTCCCTGCACTGTGCAGCTTCCACTGCCCCAGTGTGTGCCCCAGGGCCCCACGCTGCACCCTCAGGCCATCAGCCACAGCTCGCTGCAAGTTGAAGACACGGGCTAGGCCTGGGCGTAAGGCTGCCGACCACTTCCTTCTCAGAGGGCCCTTCTCGCTTCCTGAGCTGTGGCGATGCCCGCCTTTTTCTCCGTCTGCAAACGTGCCTAGATGACTTCAGCCTGCGAGGCTGTGCCCGTGCCGTGCCTTGTGCAGATCGCAGCCCCCCGCCAGCTGCTTCCCTCGGAGTCCGATCCTCCTGATCCTCCTGGGTCCCCCCGCGGCGCCACTTCGCAGCGCTTCGCGTGTCTTACTGTTGCCTGTTCCGCGCCCTCTGCAGCGCCCCGGCTCATCCCGACCCCCGGTCGGCCCACGGAACTCGTCTCTGCTCTCTCGGGGGTCGGCGGCCGCAGGGTCTCCGGGGGTTGGCCGGGAGCGCCGCATGTGCGTTCCTGCGTGAGCGGTAGCGGAGCGGGAGAGGGCCCGCGTGTGTCCAGGTCGGGCCCACCGGGCGTGTGTCCCTGGACAGGCGCGTGTTTGCGAGGGGCCTGGCTCTGAGCGCAGGGGCGCGCCGAGCCCGCGAGGCCGATGCGTTTCTGCCGTGCGGCGCGGGATGCGCGCGCCCGCGCCTCCGCCAGGTCAGGGTCGGAGGCGGACAAGAGCAGAGAGGCGGAAAGAGCCGGGAGCCACGCGAGGAAGCGGGACGTGCACGCCCCGCGCCTGCGCACTGACCGGCCGCGTTCCTTACGGCCAGCGGGAGGCAGCGCTCGCGCGCAACGGTCGGGAGTCGAGGTCTCCAGACGGCCGGGGGGCGGGGCCGAGCGTGAGGCGGAGTTTGCGCACTCCCGTTCTCAGGGGCCCGGTGGGCGGGGTGGAGAGAGGGAGAGCGAGAGAGGGACGCGTCTCTGGCCAATGAGCGCAGAGATCGCCTGGGGGCGGGGCCGGGCTGCTGCGCGCCGGGCCGCGGTTGGCGGAGGGTGGCGGGGGCGGGCTCGGCGTACGACCCAGCCCGCCACTCCGGGCCGGGTAGGCTGGGAGGGCGGTGCCCGGGCCGGGGCGGCAGCTCCTCAAGTAAAGCGGCGCCCGGGGACCGGCGGCGCTCGCTTGGAGAGGCGTCCGTCGGGGGAGCCGCGGCCGGAGAGTCTGGGGTCCGCGCCGTCGGCCGGGGCCTCGTGGGAAGCCGAGTCGGGAGGCGCGTTCCCAAGGTCAGCGGGCGAGCGCGAGGAGGGTCCTGGGCGTCGCGGGGCCGAGACCGCCCCCCGGCCGGGGCCCAGGTGCGCCCGGCGCGGCCGAGGAGCCGGCGCCGCAGCCCGGAAGAGGCCCGGGAGCCGGCCGCGCCCCTTCTGCCCCACGCCGGCGCGGGGTGCGGGGCCTGAGGCGCGCCCCGGGCACGGCGGACTGTCCTCTAGGGGAAGCAGAACCTGAACTCGGAGAGGCCCCTTCCCGTTCGCCGCGGGCGTCGGGGGAGGCGGTCCGGCGCAGGGACTGGTGTGTCCGGACGCCGCGAGGACTGCTGGGCGCAGCGGCCAGGTCGTGAAGCCGGCAGGTCAGGGTGAGGGCCAGGTGGTGCTGGGCCAGGCCGGCCCGCGGCCCCCGGCTGCGAGGCCCGAGTGCCGGGGCTCCCGGCTTCCTGCAGCGCCGGCACGACTGCAGTGCAGCGCCAGGGCCCGAGGACAGGGCTCTGTTCCCGACCGCACGCTTGCAGACCTTCGCTTTGCCAGCCCGGTGGAGGGGGGCGCGGGGCTGGTCGGCTCGAGAGCCGTGAAGTGAGTCAGAGGGGTGGGGTGGGGTGGGGGCCGCGGGTCTGGTGGGGGAACCGGAGGACTGGCCTTGCCTGGGGACGTGGCTGCAGTGGCTGGCTGGTGTGGGGAGCAGGTGGGGTTGGGGTGGAGGCTGGCTCTGAGGGCACAGTCTTGGAGGCAGGGACCCCTTCTGAAAGGGATGGTGGTGGGGGGTGGAGAAGAGGGTCAGGTGTGGGGAGGGAGACGGAGGAGCAGGAGCCGTGATGCTGGTTCCTGACCCGACCGCTGAGTGCGTGATGATGCAGGAAAAGAGGCAGGTGTGTTGGGGGCCAGGGAGAGGTCGGGTGAAGAAGGCAAGGTGAGCATTGGAGCTGTTGGGTTTGAGGGGTCCAGATGGAGATACCCAGCGGGCACTGGGCCCCGGGAGACCCACGTGGGAGTTGTCAGTTGTGGGACCCTCCAGCAGTGGCTTGATCGTGACGCGGCTACATCTCACGCCTGTAGTTCTGGTGCCCAAGGGGTCTGGGGATGCTGCTGTCAGCAGGGTCTTTACTTCCAGGCCTCAGGCTGTCGTGGTTCAAGTGAGCAGGTGTCTCTGGTCTCTCTGTGGTGTCGGAGTGGAATGACTGAGTTGAGCTCCCTTGGTTACCTTGAAACCAGTGTTCAGGCTGCCCTGCCTTGCTGGGACCTGCGTCTCGCTGTTTCTCACTGCCCAGGGCTGGTTGCTGCCTCCCGAGGGACAGCCGTAGATCAGAGCTGGAAACTGGGGGGCTCATGCCTGCTTGCGTTCCCCGCTAGTCCCACCTGCAGACACGGTGTCTGCGCTCAGGCCAGGGTCCGCTGAGGCCCAGGTAAGCGGTCCGGTCACGGCGAGCGTGTGACCAGCCACTGCGGACCTCGTGAGCCTCTTCCGTGGGCTGAATCATTCAGTCTCCTTGAGGTATGTCCCAGAAAGCCCCTGTGGCTCTTGTGGGCGCCTGGCCAGTGCTCAGGGCATACTGGCCCTGGAGTTACGAGGACTGGGATTTCTTCACTGAGCTGGAGGGCCACGTGGCTCTGGGGGTTTCCGTGTGAACCCAGTGACCCAGCTTGGGACAGCTTGGGTTGAGAAATAGTGTTCCTGAGGGATGGTGAGCAATGAACTGTTGAACTGTCTTCCCTAGATCCTCAGCCCAGATTCTTGTTGGTGACTCTGGAAGTGGATTCTTCTCTGGCTCCTGTGCCAGAAGAGAGGGTCCTGGGGCCTGCTGCAGGGCTGGGTCATTCCCGTGACCCCACACGGTGGCCTGACCCTTAGGCGCGTGGCTTCCTCTGGGCAGTGGTGTCTGTGGCCTCCTCGCCTCCCATGCCTCCTCCTGACCCACCTTGGGCTTGGAGCAGTTGGCCCAGCGCCTCTGTTAGCCTCTGCCATGTCGCGTGGCAGCCATGATACACGTGGGTGTCCTTCAAGCCAAGGTCTTGGACTCCGCGGGCTCAGACGGCGCCTGGCCGGCTTCCTAGATGTGGTGGAACGCCTGTCCAGGTGAATGAGGAAGAAGCTGCTGCTGCACTCGGCTACGATGTGTAGGATGCAGGGAGGGAGGCCCTCCTCGACCTTGCCTTTGACCTGTGCTGGTCTGCGCCACAGCACGGGCGGAGAGTGGAGCCTGTGGGAGCCGGTCCTGGGCGAGTCCTGCTGTGCCGGTAGCTGGCCGCTAACGAGCAGTGGGTTCCTCTCCAACCTGCTGGGCTCTGTGTACTAAACCAGACGGAGCCTCTGAGGTGCTGGCCGGGCAATCCGTGCTCGGCACACGCTTCCTGCAAGACACAGGGCGCCTTCGGGGCCCAGAGCCTTCCTTGTCCCTGCACCCTCTTCCCCCACGGGGCTTTTGTCATGGTTTGCCTCCAGCGACCTGCTCACGTTGGTTTGTCTCCGCAGAGAGCAGTCTGTGCTGTCTCAGCGTGTCCCGCGTCACACACAGGTCACCTGACTTGCGGCGGTGGTGCGGACAGGACGTCTCCCGCTGGCCTTGTTTGGCCGCGCGCTCTTCACTTTTCCACCCGGCGGTCGAGCTCTAGACTCTACAAGCTCCGCTCCCTGCCACGCTCCCGTGCTCGCGCTTGTGTGACGGTTTCAAAATGGGGGGGATCCTGTCGCGGGTGTGACTGTTTGGGCCGGCGGCAGGTGCCCCACAGGCTCTGCTGGCCCTCACCCCCAGGACGACCGCCGCTGCCCGCCGGGCTTGCCGTGTGCCAGACTCCCGCCGTGCAACCTCTTGCGTGTGTGACGAGTGATTTGTGCTACTTTGTCGCTTATTGACCTTCTGCTCTGGCGGTCGGACCAGGTGTGTGAGCACGTACGGTTGTGCGCAGAGGTGTAACTGAGCACACGGTTCTCAAATTTTATGTATCTTTTCACTCAGAAACTTGACTTTTTTTTTGATAGTCAAACTGAACAGTGTTCGTTAACGTGTCTGGGTTTTTGTGTCTGGCGTAGCACGTCCTTTCCTACTTTAAGACTATAGAAGGTTTACGTGTGCTTCCTATTTGGACTTTAACATTTCATCTTTCTTTTTTTTCTTTTTAAAGATTTTATTTATTTATTTGACAGACAGAGCACAAGCCCAAGTAGGCAGAGAGGCAGGCAGAGAGAGAGAGGGGGAAGCAGGCTCCCCGCTGAGCAGAGAGCCCGATGCGGGGCTTGATTCCAGGACCCTGGGATCATGACCTGAGCTGAAGGCAGAGGCTTTAACCCACGGAGCCATTCAGGCGCCCCATATTTCATCTTTCCATTTAACTCTTATGTTAATAAGAGTTCGTGTTGGGATAAGGAGAGGTGTGGGGAGGCTAGTGTTTTCCCTGAGTGTTTAATTTGCTGTTTCAACACTATTGATTAATCGGTCTGTATGATTTAAAACTCTGTCTTTCTTGCGTAATGTTTTCTTCCTTACTGGTGTTCATTTCTGGAATTTTTATGTAGTTCCATTGATTTAATACACTTTAACATAATATAGGACAAATCCTCCTCTTCATATACTTTTTAAAAATTTAACTGGCTGTTCTTTTTTTTTTTTTTAAAGATTTTATTTATTTATTTGACACACAGAGAGAGATCACAAGTAGGCAGAGAGAGAGAGGAGGAAGCAGGCTCCCTGCCGAGCAGACAGCCCGATACGGGACTTGATCCCAGGACCCTGAGATCATGACCTGAGCAGAAGGCAGAGGCTTTAACCCACTGAGCCACCTAGGCGCCCTTTTTTTTTTTTCTTTAATTGGCTATTCTTGTACATTAATTCTTCTATATGAATTTTGGACCATTTCATCAAATACCCTTCAATATCCTGTCTCATATATTTGTAGATTCATGAAAATTGAGCTCTATAATATTGAGTTATATGGGAGGAGTTTGATTCTATTCCTTCCATGAACAGTTTTTGGTTTTTTTAAAGATTTATTTATTTTAGAGAGAGTGAGTGAGTAAGTGGGGTGGGAGGAGGGGCAGAGGGTGAGAATCTTAGAGCGGACTCCCCGCTGAGCTTGGAGCTTGATCCCAGAACCCGCGAGACCATGACCTGAGCCAAAACCAAAGTTGGACACTCAACTGACTGAGCCACCCAAAACCGGGCAAAGACCCCATCAAAAAGGAGAATTTCAGATCAATACCCTGATGGATACGGATGCCAAGATTCTCAACAAGATCCTAGCTAGTAGGATCCAACAGTACATTAAAGGGGTTATCTATCATGACCAGGTGGGATTTGTCCCTGGGATGCAGGGGTGGTTTAATATTGCAAATCAATCGATGTGATAGAACCCATAAATAAAAAGAAGAACCGCATGGTCCTCTCAATT